TGGTCTTAGGAAATTTCTTTAAAAAATCCACGCCTATTGGTCTTAAGAAATTTCTTTAAAAAATCCACGCCTATTGGTCTTAGGAAATTTCTTTTAAAAGAAATATCAGCAAAGCAGCAACTAATATGAGGTAACATCACAAAACTCTATAGTTACTCTATTTGCCATCGAGTCGGTAAGTGCGTTTTTTGCAATTCAATATATAGAAAAGTGAATATTAGCAAAGTGTGTGTGTGTGTGTGTGTGTGCAAAACTAAAAGAAGAAATTCCAACCAAGATCTCTAAAAATTACACAAACAACAAAACGACCGAAAAAAGCAAAGCCCAAAGTGAGAAAAGTGTCTGGTATAAAACAACAACAACTTCATCTCTGTGCTGTATGTTGGTGACAAAAAAAAATTGAATAAAGTGCCAAAAGAGAAAACACTCAAAAAAAAAAAAGAATTTTTTTTGTTAAACGTATTTTTTTTCGTGGAGAAAAAAAATAGTATGTATATATATGTGCATAAAAAAGGTGAAAATAAATAGATCCCGTTGGAGAATATTGCAAGGTATATTTTTTTGCTGTCAATGATCACCGTTACACACATCCATATATTTGCATTATCGAAGCATATACATAAAATACATTAACAAACAGCACAAAGTTGGAAAGAAAAAAAAAAAAAAAAAAATCACTTTGCCATATACCAGCATACACGGTAATAAATAATACATTATATTAAATACATATTGGCACATCTCACAACAAAAAAATTATATCACCGTCATTTAGTGGCACTATCATTATTTTTTGGGTGTACACATTTCTCACTGCAAGAATAACAGAAATATTTATAATAACAATATCATCATTACAACAAGCACCACACACATCTCTTAAGTAAACGAAAATATATACAAACACACACAGCGTACATTATTCAAACCACGGTTAGCCAGTGGGGAGAATATAACACAAAGAAGAAACGAAAAGAATAATAACAATAACACGGCATATGAACCGCTCACTATACACTCGAGAAAAAATATTAGTTCATCATTTATAGGGTGTAGACCCAAAGAAAAAAATTAGTAATTTTAACAAAAATAATGAAAAATTCGAATGAATTTAATATACTAACACAATATTGATTACACACTCATCTCATATATATCCAACTAAATATAAATATTTTTTTCAGCAAAAAAAAAAAAAAAAATTATAATAAAGAGTTAGTGCTAAAAGAATGTGCCAGTGACGAAAAAAAAATTAAAAATAATAATTTGAATTATAATTGCGGTACTTTTATAGAAATTAAATTCGTTTTGGAAAAAAATTAAATTGGTATCAAACCTGTGACTTATATTGGAAAAAATTTCGCGTCTCAGTTGTGCCATTCTTATAGCTACGGTGCTCGTCTCAATTAATATTTTGAATTAAAAAAAAAAGAAAGATTTTCTGTGGAAATACGCTCACATGATTGAGTGCTATTTTATTACATTTATTGAAATTTTGATTGCGCAATTAATTGAAATTCAGTCGCTTATTCTATTGAATTAAATTCTCATCGGATTTTAACAAGCTTGCTTTCTCGTGAATTACGGTTTGGTAGTCACCCGGAAAAAAACTACAATCGTTTCTTTTAATTGGTTCAGTAGTCACCCACTAAAACTACAACTACATGAAAGTATTTTGAAATTCGTAAGGTTTGAAAGTTGAAGAAATTTCTGGAAGTAGATAAATTTGAAGATTGGTGTAGCAAATTCGTCGTCTGAACCAAGATTATTTGCTTATAAGGAATTACTCGACTCAATAAAGATTGAAGTGAAGAACGAATAAAATTATTTTTGCCTAAGTCAGTGGTTACTTCAAAACAGTTTCATCTCGAGTGTTCGAATATAATTAAAATTGAATATGTCCGTTTCTGAAAACGTTGCCACTGATACCATGAAAGCATCGACATCGTCAAAGATTATTCCCAGTAATGGGCCTAAAGCATCGATTTCTGCGAAGAGTATAACGCAGACATCTCCAGAACATGATGTGTTTTTGTTTGAATGCGATCATTTGGTAAATTTTTGCGAACAGTTTGATCAAAGTGATATTACAGATCAAACTGACTCAGTTTTACAAGTCAAATTAAATGATTTAGAGCAAAGGTGGTTGAATTTGCAGAATGCATACAAAAATGTTATGTTGTCTCCTAAGTCCGCTAATGTCAAAGATTTTAAAGAAAATGCAAAGATCAATTTTAATGCTAGTTCTGAAGCATATTACACAGCGAGATCACAAATTGAAGATATTTTAAGAATTTCAGGTGCTCAGAATCATCAAGGTGCTAGGCAAAGTGTGCTCCCAATTAATTTACCCCAGTCGTCTCTTGATAATTCCCCTATTTGTATAAAGGTTCCTCCGTGTGACACCGAGATATTTTCAGGTGGTTATGAAGAATGGCCTTCTTTCCGTGACATGTTCACAGCGGTCTATGTCAACCACCCAAAATTGTCCCAGGCTCAAAAACTTTATCACTTGCGAAATAAAACTAAAGGTCCTGCGGGTGCTATAGTGAAGCGATATCCTCTCTGCGATGACAATTTTCAATTGGCGTGGGGTGCGCTCAAATCTCGATATGAGAACAAAAGGGTCCTTGTAGATAATCAACTCAAAATTTTGTTTAACATTCCTGTTGCCACGGTGGAAAATAGCGAGTCCATTCAAAAGGTCCATTCTACAGTAAGTGACTGTCTTTGCACACTAAAAACACTCAATGTCGACATAGAAAGTTGGGATCCAATCTTAATATACTTGGTCTACTAAATTACCTGATGAAACTCTATCTCTTTGGGAGCAATCGCTCAAATCTCATCGAGAGTTGCCAACCTGGGGACAACTAGATGAATTCCTCATAAATCGGTTCGAAGTAGTTGAACGCATCTCAAGCATTCGGCATTCAAAGGAGACTCAATCCTCAGCTTCTCATATGTTTTCGAAAAAACAACAAAATTCTTCTCAGGAAAGGGTCGATCTCAAATGTTCCTATTGCAAGACGAATCATCAGATCAGGTCGTGTCAAGAATTTCGAAAGTTGTCAATTCAGCAACGGGTAGATTTTGTTGTCAAAAATAATATATGTCTTAACTGTTTATCATCTGGTCACATGAAAGGAAACTGTAAAAGCAATAATACGTGTTTGGTTTGCCATAAAGATCATCACACACTTCTCCACATAAATAAATCTTCTTCAGAAAACTTCTCCGAAGATATGCGCATTGACTCAAATAAAAAGTTTTTCAAGCCAATTCACACGACTACTCCTGAAAGTCCATCAACATCTAATTTAAAACGCTCGTCTCAAGTTCACGCCAATTTTTGCACAGATAACAACACAATTCTTCTACGAACAGCGCTAGTTCAAATCGAACACAGGGGCGAATTATTCACATTAAGAACATTGATTGATCCTGGATCACAAAGAACTTTCCTATCAGAAAGGATTCGAAATTTATTGCAAATTCCCACCTCTCAAGGTTATTTCGAAATTACTGGTGTTGGAGGCCAGAAACAGACTTCCAAAAAGGAGTGTGAATTAATTATTGTCGCCCCGAAACATAATATGCGATTTTCTATAACAGCAATCGTATTACCTAAAGTAGTCAAATCTCTTCCCTCTGCCACTTTTGAAGTTGCTAACCCTCAGGATCTAGCAGATATCGATTTAGCTGATCCATCATTTAACAAGTCGTCTCAAATCGATCTCATTTTGGGCAATGATTCTGAAAGATTTATAAACCTAGAGGGTATTAAAAAGAATATATGTGGCAATGCATCTGCTTATAACACAATATTCGGTTGGGTGCTAAGTGGCCCAATGCAAGTTGAACAAGTTCATTCGTTCACATCTCGAATAGTCGAATCTGAAAATTTTTTAATAAGCAATTTGCTAAGAAAATTTTGGGAACAGGAAGAGGTTCCTCGTACTCCACCCGTCTCAGTCTCAGATGAATTTTGTGAAGAATTCTACAAAAAAACCACAACACGAACTGCTGATGGTCGTTATATGGTCCGATTGCCTTTTAAAAAGGAATTTTCCGATACATTGTTTCTTGGCTCTTCAAGGTACACAGCCTTAGCCCAATATACGCGCCTGGAAAAAACCATGTCAAGTAATAATGAATTAGCAACTGAATATAACGCAGTTTTAAATGAATATTTGTCATTAGATCACATGGAAGAAACCTCGTCTCATGAATTATGCATAGAAGGCAAATACTTATCCTTTTATCTCCCACACCATGCAGTTGTTCGACCAGAACATAAAAGCACAAAAGTACGAGTAGTTTTCAACGCATCTCGAAAATCAAAGTCAGGGTTTTCTCTTAACGATGTCCTTCATACAGGACCCACTCTCCAAACAGACTTAACGTCAGTAATACTTAATTGGCGAAAATATCCTTATGTCTTCAGCGGAGACATCCAAAAAATGTATAGACAAATTCTTATACATCCACACGATAGATCATTTCAGAGAATTCTCTTTCGAACCAGTCCCGAAGATATGGTCAAAGATTACAACTTAAAAACTGTCACATTCGGTGTAAATTGCGCACCGTTCCTCGCTATACGCACGCTATTGCAATTATCAGAAGACTCGAAAAATGAATATCCTAACGTCCATCAAATAATTCAGAGAGAAACATACGTTGACGATGTTCTAACTGGAGGTTTCACGGTGGAAGAAGCAATAAATAATCAGAAAGATCTTATTTCGGTTCTTAGTAGTGCAGGTTTTCCTCTCAAAAAGTTTACGGCAAACGACAAAAATCTTCTCTCGACACTCTCTTCTGAAGATCTTTATGACTCTGAATTTCTGAGCTTACAAGAAAATAGTTCGACTAAAACACTTGGTATTAAATGGAATGCATTAACAGACACTTTTTCGTATCACATTGGAGTAGCGAGATCTAATCAAACTATGACTAAACGTCAAGTACTTTCTGCTGTTGCTCAGCTCTTCGATCCCGCTGGGTGGATAGCACCGTTAATAATTCGCGCGAAGGTTTTAATGCAGCAGCTCTGGTTAGAAGGTATTGACTGGGATGAAAACATCAGTACCGAATCAGAACAAAAATGGAATAATTTGTTGGCAGATTTGCAAGATATTGATACAATTTCAATTCCACGATGGATTCAGTATCGTCCTCAAAACAAAATAGAAATTCATGGCTTCTCTGACGCTTCTCAATCTGCAATTTGTGCGTGCATATACATTCGTTGTCAAACGAGAGAAAATGTAGTATTTTCTAATCTGCTCGTCGCTAAAAGTAAAGTAGCTCCATTACAGCCAGTTTGTCTACCCAGATTGGAGCTTAACGGCGCTGTTCTGCTCGCAAAATTAGTTAACTATGTAGTATCGACGTTCGACTTCAAGTTTGAAACCATAAATTTATGGACAGATTCCTCGATAGTGTTAGGTTGGCTATCAAAACCCCCTTGGTCCTGGGAAACATTCGTAGCGAATAGAACTGCTCAGATTCTGGAGTTAGTTCCAAGCGCCTGTTGGCGTCATGTGCCTACCCACGATAATCCTGCCGATTTAGGGACTAGAGGTTGTAAACCTCAGGATCTTCAACCAGATTCAGTGTGGTTTCATGGTCCACATTGGCTTGTACATCCCTCAACAGAATGGCCGAAAAGGGATTTTATTGGCCCCCCTAATTTAGGTAAAAGAACAAAAATACAAGCAATGGTTGCGCTGGAAACTAAAGAGGAAGAAGATTCCGACATTTTGAGACCGTTTTCTACGTACAAACGTGCGTTAAAGGTTTTTGCTTATATTGGCCGGTTTTATCAAAATAGCATAAGCAAACGGCGCAATTTTTCAAAAGTATCCGACGAAAAGTTATCGCACTCCGATTTCGCCTTTGCTAAAAATCGCCTCATAATTTACTATCAACGAAAATTTTATGAAGAAGAATACAAGTGTCTGGAAAGCAACATGGAAATATCGACAAAAAGCTCCCTAAAGTCTCTTAACCCGTTTTTGGATGAAAAAGGGATAATGAGAGTTAACGGCCGGCTAGCTAATTCTTCCTTGCCATACAATGAACGGTTCCCAATAATTATTCCTAACAAATCCAGATTTTGTCGGTTATATCTAGAGCATTTGCACCTTTGTCTGGCTCACGCTGATTGTAATTTAATGTGTAGAATGGTTCAAACGGAATTCTACATTTCTCGTCTCAAACCAAAAGTTAAAAGCATCATTCACAAATGCAAAATCTGTCTCATCTACAAGCAAAAGTGTTGTTCGCAAATTATGGCTCCATTACCACCTGAACGGTGTACTTTGACTCCCCCTTTTCACATCACAGGTATAGATTTTGCAGGCCCGTTCGAATTAAAAAGTTCTATTTTGCGTCAATCGCCCATACTTAAAGGCTATGTATGCTTATTCGTCTGCTTTACCACGAAAGCTATTCATTTAGAGCCCTGTTCCGAATTGTCAACGATCGCCTTTGAGGCCGCACTGGCTCGGTTCGTTGGGAGGCGAGGACTACCCTCTCGGATAGTATCTGATAATGGTAAAAATTTCCTTGGTGCTAGTCGACGACTAGCAAGAGAGTTTTGCTTATTTCTAAAATCCACCGCTCAAGACATTTCAGACAAGTATGCTGCTTATGGCTTCGAATGGAAGTTTATTCCACCCCATGCTCCACATATGGGTGGGTTATGGGAATCAGCTGTGAAAAGCTTCAAGCACCACTTTAAACGAATTGCCGGTGCTCACCGGTTTACTTTTGAACAGTTTTCAACAGTATTAGCAAGAATCGAGGGAGTTCTAAATTCGCGTCCTATATCTGCAATATCTGAAGATCCCTCCGATTTCACCGCCTTGACTCCTGGGCATTTTCTTCGAGGTTCTCCGATTATGGCGTTACCAGAACCTAGTAATCAAAACTTGTCTATCATAAATAGGTGGCTCAGATTGAAGGCAATTCATCAACAATTTTCCGTCAGGTGGAAAGAAGACTATTTAAAGTCACTACAAAAACGTTACAAATGGAGACGTTCAACTCCTAATCTTAAAGTCGGTGATTTAGTCGTGGTTATGGATGATTTGTTGCCTCCTAGCGAATGGAGGCTTGGTAGAATCACGAATACACATAGCGGATCAGATACGCAGGTCAGAGTAGTGGAAGTAAGGACTGCTTCTGGCACCATAACTCGCCCAATTGTCAAGCTCTGCTACTTGCCACTGTTGGATGATGACACATCCGACTAACACATCAACTAAAAAAAATATATATATATATATTTCTATTTCAGCTCTAATTTCCCCCTATTAAATGGTAACCATATCACTTCTCATTCCACCTCACTTCATCCTTATATATTCCTTTTCATACAGTGAAATGGGCCGTACTAATTCATATCCCATTTCAGGTCAATCAATAGCCACGAAGTGTACAAATGTGTTGTTTGCAACCAGCGGCACTCCTTGCGTTTCTGCCAGCAGTTCATTATGATGCGGGTTCCAGCGAGGCGAAACGTCATCCGAAAATTTAAATACTGCCTGAACTGCTTGGCCAAGAGTCACACGGTACGAGACTGCCACTCGAAGGACGTCTGCCGTAAATGTGGTTACCAACATCACACCATGCTGCACCCTGAATCGCAGGGAAACTTTCGGCCAAATGTGCATGGTCGACTGGCACTGCCCAGCGGAGAAGAGAGCCCATCCCGGGAGCTGGTTCCGCGCAGAACCTCTCCGAATCCTGCATCGCAGCGGAACAACCGACGACCAAATCGTCAACATCGACCACCACAGCAACAACGACCACAATCGTCACATCAACCCCAGCGTCGGCAGTCACGCAATAACTCCCAAACCTACACCCGTCGCCGCTACCGTCAGCCCCAGAGTGTCAATATTCGAAGCGTGGTAATGCCCAACCAACGTCTCCTTTCACAGGCCATAAAATCTCTGGCGTCTGTGCTGTGTGTCTCCACATCCGTTGCACAGGTGCAAGGCCGGGGCCATGGACAAATTCGCTGAATTCGCCACATTTATAAAATGAATACCCTTAGTTTAAGAATTGAACTACTGAATTATTGTGAATTGTATCAAAACAAATTGTACTAGGTTAAGTAAAATGAATTGTACCCGTAGTTTAAGTACTCTCGTTAAGTTAATCTCTTTTTAACGAATCTACTCTAAAGCGCCGCTTACCCAGTCAAATGACACTTATCATTAAGTCACTCTTGTAACTGACTCGCACTGGTAAGCATCTCATCTCTCTCTCAATAAACCAATAGTAGTTTTACGTTTTGTAACGTTTATAAGAAAATTACTAACTGGTTTTATTTTCTCTTTCTTATTTTCGCTAATTATTCCTCATTGGCTATGAGGAATAATTCATCAAGCTAAAATCTATCATACAGTCCACTCAGCACTGTTGGGATATCTCGTGCATTATTTATCGCTCTCTGCTTATTTACCTCCCAGCAACAAAAACCCAGCGGAATCCCAGCAACAAAAACGAGATAGACCATAAGCAACTACAGCATTTTTTAGGTAAATGGTGCGCCAAAGTCCCTAAATATCTTTGGATCTGCACGAAATTTGGCACAGCGTAATTAATTAGGTCTAGAATGATGTGTGTTAAGTTTCGTTAAAATCGGTTCAGATTTAGATATAGCTCCCATATATATTTTCGTCCGATTTAAGGTAAATGGCGCACCAAAGTACATATATGTTTCGATTTGCACGAAATTTGACATAGCGTACTGAATCAAGTCTCGAACGATGTGTGTAAAATTTCTTGAAAATCGGTTCAGATTTAGATATAGCTCCCATATATATTTTCGTCCGATTTAATGTAAATGGTGCCCCAAGGTCTCTATATATCCTTCGATTTGCACGAAATTTTACATAGCGTACTAAATTGATACTAGAAAGAAGTGTGCAAAGTTTCGTGGCAATCGGTTCAGATTTAGATATAGCTCCCATATATATTTTCATCCGATTTAGGGTAATTGGTGCACCAAAGACCCTATATATCCTTCGATTTGCACGAAATTTCGTATAGTGTACTAAATTGCGTCTATAATAATATGTGCAAAGTTTCGTAAAAAACGGTTCAGATTTCGATATAGCTCCCATATATATTTTCATCCGATTTTAGGTAATTGGTGCAACAAAATCTCTGAAAATCATTCGATTTGCACGAAATTTGTCACAGCGTACTGAATTATAGCTAGAATGACGTGCGCTAAGTTTCGTGAAAATTGGTTCAGATTTAGATATAGCTCCCATATATATTTTCGTCCGATTTTATGTAATTGGTGCACCAAAGTCCCTATATATCTTTCGATTGCACGAATTTTGGTATAGGGTACTGAATTAAGTCTAGAATGATGTTGCTAAGCTTCGTAAAAAGATCCATAGCTAGGCCGATTTTCACAACGTACTGATGTAATATAAATTAGTCTCTAGCAAGTTTCCCTGAAATCGGTTCAGATATATTCTACATATGTTGGGATACATATGTAAAATATACCCAAAGTGGTGAAGGGTATCATATAGTCGGCCTAGTCTGGCTTTACTACTTTCCGTACTGGGTTTTATTTACTTTTACTTTTGAAACCATGAAATGGACAACCCTTTATTTAAAAAAAATAATAAAAATAAAATTTTTATGAAAAATTATGTTTAACCATTTTGATTTATATTTCGACATATCAGGGTATCGAATCTTCTTACAATATGTATTCACTTTTCATATACCTAAATTCACATTTCGTTAACAAAAAATGAAATTAAAAATTTTATTGTTGTTTTTGGATATCAAAAAATTCCTAAAACGAAAACGAATGTGAAAATTATCCTTGAGCTGTCAGCAACTAGTACATGGGAGTTCATTCATACCCGTGTATACGATTGTGTCTGTCATACAGAAAAATAGTGAATAAAAAACTAAATTCCAAACTTTTTTCGTTAGAACATTGTTGATATTTGTTTACACGTTGAATTATTCAAATTATCTATGATATCGAAACATGCATGCCGCCAACCATCCTACCCACCAACCCATCCACCTACTATCGTTACTAATCACTCATCCATATATACAGCCACTAAATTTACACGCAAAATGCACTTCATTGAACTGAAAATGAATGTATACCTTCGGTTGGATCGAATAATTGGTAATTGAAATCCAATGCAATATTAAAAAGAAAGAATAACTAAAAACTAAACAATGTGGAAGAGTGGATACCTCTAGTGACCACATTGGTAGTCGGCTTTGGTGGGTAGTCACTGTACGGGGTATATAAATTCTTTCGATATGGAGTTTCCTAGAGGCTTTTTGAGGATGCAATATGTTATTTGCCTCCGATTTACCTCATTGTTCAGGGTTTATTTGGACTTAGCACCATTGCACTTCGTTGCAACTTGCCTCCAAAGCACTGGGATACTGCCGACACAGACAAGGCAGTTTACCACATTATAAAGTTCGGTATCATTCGGTAAACCATTAATTACTCATAGATACGAAGACAGGAGACTAGGAAGTTAAGTGCACTTACCGGTTTTTTTAGGGGCTCCAATTGTCTGTTCATGGATCATAGGAACTCGGTCATTTCTAGCATTTCCTTGGATTTTTTGGTATGCTTATGAATACGATTACATCCCAATGTCAATTCCAACGAATAACATATGTGCGTGTGTGTGAGAGTATCGTTGCACTATAGATCTAAATACAGTTGTTGAATTTACATAAAAGTATTTGGGTTTGAATAGCATTGAAATTGGGTTCAAGTTAGTTCATATTGTACTAAGTAGTTGTCTTGAATTAATGAATTAAATACTATTCGGTACATGCCCGGAGGTGCACACCCCACAAACAGTGATGTTTAAAATAAAAGCACTAGTTTTATAAAATATTATTTTGCATGGGAGAATATTTTTGAAGGAATATAAGGCCAATAAGCGTGATTTTTTTTAGAAAATAATTTTCAAGAATTATCAGGCGTGGATTTTTAAAGAATATTTTTCAAAGACTATCAGTTCTATAGGCATGTATTTTTTACGACTACTTTTTATGGACTATCAGGGGTATTACTATTTTTCATGGAATATTAGGTTCATAGGCGAGGGTTTTTGAAAGAACATTTTTCAAAGACTATCAGGTATATATGTGTGGATTTTTTAAAGAATATTTTTCAGAGACTATCAGGTCTATAGGCGTGGATTTTTTAAACAAATATTTTTCAAATACTATCAGGTCTATAGTCAGGGAATTTTAAAGAATATTTTTCAATGACTATCGGGTCTATAGGCGTAGATTTTCTAAAGATTATTTTTCAACGACTATCAGGTCTATAGGCCTGGATTTTTTAAAGAATATTTTTCAACGACTATCAAGTCTATAGGCATTGGACTTTTTATAGAATATTTTTCAGGGCCTATCAGGTTTATAGGCGTGGATTTTTTAAATAATATTTTTCAGGGTCCAACACCGGAGTTTCAGGTGGATTTTTTAAAGAATATTTTTCATAGACTATCAGGTCTATAGGCGTGGATTTTTTTAAAGAATTTTTCATAGACTATCAGGTCTATAGGCGTGGATTTTTTAAAGAATTTTTTTCATAGACTATCAGGTCTATAGGCGTGGATTTTTTAAAGAATATTTTTCATAGACTATCAGGTCTATAGGCGTGGATTTTTTAAAGAATATTTTTCATAGACTATCAGGTCTATAGGCGTGGATTTTTTAAATAATATTTTTAATATAATATCAGCTCTATAGGCGTGGATTTTTTAAAGAATATTTTTCATAGACTATCAGGTCTATAGGCGTGGATTTTTTAAAGAACATTTTTCAGACTATCAGGTCCATTAGCGTGGATTTTTTAAATAATATTTTTTAAAGGATATACACAAGGCGTGGATTTTTTAAAGAATATTTTTTAAAGAATATCAGGTCCAGGCGTGGATTTTTTAAAGAATATTTTTTAGACTATCAGGTCCATTAGCGTGGATTTTTTAAAGAATATTTTTCATAGACTATCAGGTCTATAGGCGTGGATTTTTTAAAGAATATTTTTCATAGACTATCAGGTCTATAGGCGTGGATTTTTTAAAGAATATTTTTCATAGACTATCAGGTCTATAGGCGTGGATTTTTTAAAGAATATTTTTCATAGACTATCAGGTCCATTAGCGTGGATTTTTAAAGAATATTATCAGGTCTATAGGCGTGGATTTTTATGAATATTTTTCGAAGACTATCAGTTCTATAGACATGTATTTTTTTATGATTATCAGGTATAAAGATTATCAGGTATATAGGCGTGGATTTTTTAAAGAATATTTTTCAACGACTATCAAGTCTATAGGTGTTGGACTTTTTATAAAATATTTTTTAGGGCCTATCAGGTCTATAGGCGTGGATTTTTCAAAGAATATTTTTCAAAAACTATCAGGTCTATAAGCGTGGATTTTTTAAAGAATATTTTTCAAAAACTATCAGGTCTATAGGCATGGATTTTTTAAAGATTACTTTTTGTGCAGGTCCATTAGTGTGGTATTTTTAAAGAATATTTTTCAAGGAGATGATTGTTCTTCCTTAAGGAAGTTAATGAAATTTTGTTCATTCCCATCTCAAATTACAGACGCCATAATCTATTCACCTGACTGTGATTCACCTGTTATTAACCTCTAGAATAACCTCTTCATATATCCCTACTATGTGCTATTTTATTGTTCACATTGCAGTTTCTAACATAATGTTGTAATGCAGCAAACTAACTAAGTCAATCCGGTATATCGACCTTAGCAAATCCACTTTGAGCCTCTTTTCAGCCCACTTGAAGTCAATTTAGATTAGGGCACATTGTGCAAATACGTATTGTCCTAATGGCTGCTTATCGATGACGACGGCGACCATTCAAACTAAATCATTTGTTCGGTTGATTGTTGATGTGTGCTGGGCTCATCCGATGTTATTGCTCTTTTTTTTCGAAAAAAAAACAAATCCAGGGCATTCCGATAGCAAAGTAAACGTCCGACACCAGCCCTGGGCCAAATAGTTTTTGGATGAGGATTGTCAGTAGGCTGGTATCTGTTTTTTGCTTTTTTTGGAATTCGTTGCATGTTTTAAAAAAAGTTTTTTTTTTACATTTCATAGTTTGCTTGTAAACGTGGGTGAATGGATTATGGAGGATGGTATATATGTGTGTGTAAAAATGTTTTCTTTGTTCTACATTCTTGTTATTGTTTTGTAGACCATGGATAGTGAGCAGGTGAGTGTGTGTGTATGTTTGTTGGATTGCGATTATTTTGATATCATTGTAAATATGTTTGGGTGTGTGTGTGCCGGCAGAGGGCAATGACAAGTGCACAACAAAGGCCCATTGTTCTGATGTATGGTTCGATTTAACTTTAGGTCATGTACAATCAATTTGCTGTAATGG